TGTGTGTGTGTGTGTGTGTGTGTGTGTGTGTACATGTGTGTATGTATGTGTGTGCGCGCTGCTGGCACCTCTGGGGAAGTGGGTGCCTGCCAGGAGGAGGAGTCCCTTTCCTCCCCGCCTATCTCTGACTTTTTTTTTTTTTTAAATATATTTTATTGATTTTTTACAGAGAGAGGAAGGGAGAGAGATAGAGAGTTAGAAACATCGATGAGAGAGAAAATCAGCTGCCTCCCTGCACACTCCCTACTGGGGATGTGCCTGCAACCCAGGTACATGCCCTTGACCGGAATCGAACCCGGGACCTTTCAGTCCGCAGGCCGACGCTCTATCCACTGAGCCAAACCGGTTTCAGCCTGTCTCTGACTTTGATGATTGGGTTTCAGCCACCAACTGGGACAGTTTCTTTCCTCCCCTTTCTCTTCCCAAATCCTGTCCCCGCTCCTCTTGCCGGGCAGGGAGGTGTGCAGGCAGCGTGGGGACCCGTGGAGGGACACCAGGGTAGGACAGCCTTGCCGTGAGCTGCTCCTTCCGGGCGTGGTGGGTCAGAGAGGCAGGGGTTCGCTGGGGGTTGCACAGCGGCGCGTGGGGGCCGCTTCCTCTTTCTCTTTGCAGCTTTCTAAAAACAACGGGTTCCCAGAAGGGCTGTGGGAGGGAAAATCGCGTTTTGGTTTCTGTGGCAGGGAAGCAGGGAGACCGGCCACTTCCTCGCAGGGGGGCCCCCCCTATCCTGTGAGTCAGGGGGGGGGGGGCGGCAGGGCCGCCCAGCCTCTGGGGCAGCTGGAAGTCACTCCTCCCTGCAGGCGGCCCCTCAGCTCCCTGCTCGCCTAGGGGTTGATGGCTGCCTCTTTCCTCTCTGGAGGGGCCTGCTCACCCCTTGTCCGAGGGCCCCTCCCTCCCCATTTGTGGCCACAGGCGGGGTGAGGGTTGGAGCCCTCCTGTCCATCACCTGCTTGGGGTCTGTGCTGCTGCTGGCTCCCTGCCCTGGCTCCCAAAGCCCTCAGAGCCTCGGGGTGATGGAGACCCCGCCCACCTTTAGCAAGACCCAGGCGTCTTCTGGAACCTGCTAGTGTGGGTTGGTGACTGGCAGGTAGAGCCAGGGGGAGGGGGCTGGAGCCAGACTCCTTGGTGCAGGTGGCACGGAGGGGGGGTTTGGGAGGGGGCAGACAGGGAGGTGGGTGGGGAGGCCCCCAGCACCATGCCTGGATGCACAGGGGTGCTGTCGGGACCTCCCTGGGAAACTGTGTGCCCTGGCGATGTGTCTGGACAGAGCGTCCCTGGCAGTGCCCAGCCCCGCCCTTAGTGGGGAAACCGGCTTCTGAGGCTGCAGCTCGCCGGCCTAGGCTGCTGGGCGTGAAGTGGGGGGGCGGGGTGCCTCAACCCATGATGATTGGAGTGTTGTACCCCACAACCCCATGCTGGACCTCACCCTAAGCCCCCTCCTTCTCCCCAGTCCCCTTAGGAGTCTCCTCACGACTCTGGGCTGAGGACCTTTCTGGGGAGGCACCACCGCGTCCGGGCTCAGCTTAGGCAGGTGGCAGGGGTTGAGCCAGGCGGACAGGCCCTCAGACCTCCCTCCTCCCCATCGTGGCTGGGAGCTGCGGTGGCAGGGGTCTGAGAGCAGCGGATGTGACTGGGCCAGGAGGAAGCCTGGTCCCAGGATGTCACAATTTCCTGCAGTGAGCAAGCACTTCTGGGGCGCAGGAGATAAGTGGTGGGCGGGGCGCTCCCAGAGCTCCAGCCCTTGTTCTGCCCGAGCTCTGCGGCCCGGCTCCTCCACGCCCTAGACTCGGCTCTGCAGGGTCCAGAGTGGGTGTGACCACCCCTGCACTGCCGCCCCCTGACCCTCACTCCTGAGCCCTAAGGAAGAGGCTGGGAGGGGCTCACAGGCCAGGACTTGGCACTGCTCTGTGAAGATGGGTACGTGGCTCTCCTAGGTACCACACTCCTCCCCAGAAAATGCGCCCCACCCCTGCCTCTGCTCCCTAGGGCAGGCCACTTCCCAGAACCCCCAGGATTGCCGGGGCAGCCCCATCCTCCAGTCCTTCAGCCTTGGATTGTGCCTGCTCCCCCCTTCCCCGCCCCCCCTTTAGGTTGGCACTGATGCCAGCAGCACAGCGGGTCCTGGGCCAGGGGTCCCAGCCGGGGGTGGTATGGCCTTGGGATGGGAGGGCTGGCTGGGAGTCTGGGCTGTGCTGGGGTTGGGGACAGGCCGTCCACCGGGGACTCAATCTGGGACAGCATCCTCCATCCTCGGCCCCGGTCACAGCGGGCGGGGCCCAGGCACTCAGTGGAGCTTCCCGAGGAGGCCGTGTCCCGGGCTGGCTGCAGGGCTGGGGGTGACCGTTCCTGCCCAGGGTGGCTGTGGACTGACCACCTGCCGCCTTGCATGTGCCCCTCGCACCTGCTCTCAGGCTGGCTGTCAGGCCGTGCCGCCCAGGGCCGCGGGGACACTCACACGTCGGCAGACCTGCGGGAGCCGCAGGAGCCGGCGAGAAGCGGGTTGATTCTGTCTGGTGGTGGCAGGGAAGGCCTCCTGGAGGAAGTGACATTTTACTTTCCTTAAAGCAGCTGGTAGGTAGGCGTGACCCTGACATGCCAGGTGCCGGGCCTCAGATAAGAGGAGGTGGGAGCTGGGGGGACGGGAAGTGTCTGGTGGGGTGTGGTCGCTCTGAGTTCCAGAAGGATCCTGCCTGTTTGGTGACCTGACCAGAGCTTGGCCTGGCAGCCCCGCTCACCCCCGCCTTCCTCTGCTGCCCGCCTGCCTCCCTTCTTGGTGCCTGTTTCCCAGGACAGCTCACCCCGTGTCCTCTCTCTGCCCCCTGGTCCCGAAGGAGGCCAGGCGGGGGGACTTGCCGTGCGGGGCCCAGGGGAGCCTGTTGTCTTGGAGCTGTCCCCAGGGTGGGCTCCGAGTGGCATCGTCGCATGGCTCCCGGGACTGAGGAGCCACCTGCCTGTGACTTCATGCCCTGGGCTGCCCTGGGGCCTGGGCTCAGGACTCCCAGCGCTTGGGTAGAGAAGGAGGACGCCCGAGTCTGCTGGTCGGGCCTGAAAGAAGCAGGAAGTGTCTGGAGCCCCTGCTCTGCCTCTTGTCCCTCCCCAGGGCCCCCTCCCCACCCAGAGTTCAGAACCAGAGGCTCTGATCCACTATGTAGAGCGAAGGGGTGCTGTCCTGTGACTCAAAGGAGGGCCCAGACCCACCCCTAGCCTCTGGGCTCCTCTGGGTGCCCAGGGCCCTCTAGAGACCACAGTTTGCAAAGTGCTCAGATGCTGACAGGATTTTCTGTGGCCTGGATTCTCCACTGTCTCCCCGACAGGGTGCCTTCCCACCCTGAGTGCACCCCAGCTCTAGCGAGGGTGGGGGCACCCGTTTCCCAAGGAGACCTCGAGCCCTGCAGCCAGAGCGACGACGTGCGTCCCAGCTGCTCCCCTTCCTGGCGCTGAGCGTGGGCGAGTTACTTAGCGTCTCTGAGCCTCCATTCCCCACCCACCAAACGGAAGCGATGATGATGGTCCCCCGACAGGGGTGTTGAGGACAGAGCGGGATGATGCCTGGGCAGGCCAGCAAGGCTGGTGCACTGAGGACTGGACCCTGCCCGCCCCGCAGTCCTCAGGGTTCTCCTTTAAGTGCGCTGCTGTCCGGCTGTGCGGGGGTATATGTAGCCGCACTTCTCAGAGACAACGGGTACCACCCACTTACTCCCTTTTCTTTAAAAAAAATAAATAAATAAATTATACATATATATATATTTACTTCACAGAGGAAGGGACAGGGGGAGAGAGATAGAAACATCAATGATGAGAGAGAATCACTGATCGGCTGCCTCCTGCACACCCTCTATGGGGATGGAGCCCATAACCCAGGCATGTGCCCGACCCAGGAATCGAACCGTGACCTCCTGGTTCATAGGTCGACGCTCAACCCTGAGCCACGCCGGCGGAGCTCATTCCCCTTTCCATGCTTCATTTTACGTTGGGTGGATGTCACCCCGATATGTGAACGAACCCCAACAATAGCAATGAGAACACTTCCAATGGTTTGAACACTGCCCTTCCTTTCCTCCAGGCTTTAGGCCGAGAGCCCAGGGAGCTGCCCCGCTGGCCTGGAGCGGCTGTCTGTCTCTCCACCTCCACACGCATGCGCCCACCTGTCCACGCAGCTGAGGCCTGACCCCGAACATCCCTGCAGAGCGAGGAGGGGCTAGAACATGCTCTGGAGGCCTTGGCGACAGACCCAGCGCGCCGTGAGCTGAGCCCACACTCTGAAGGTAGGAAGCTGGGTTGCCGGGAGGGTGCCCCATGGTGCTGGCTACTTCCCGCTGTTTACTTGATGGTCAACAATACGTAGTGTTGCCACCTGTGGGCCATGCTCATGCGATGCTCAGGAGGGAGGAAGTGAGTCCCCCACCGTCGGCGAGGACGTGGGTGACCCGCGGTCAAGTGCAGGCCTGTGTGCCCCTCAGGCCTAGGCCGCCCGGCTCCAGCCTGTGTTTTTGGCCACGACCCCCCAGCACCTCCCTGAAGGGCTTGGCAGGTGGGAGACAGTGAGGGGCCCCCGGCCGCTGCGTGGGCGGGAGCGGGCTGGGTGGGGACAGAGCCACGCAGGGCCCAGAGTTCCCGGGGAGGAGGCTGCGCTGTGTTTTAAGTGAGAGCAGGAAACCCTGGGACAGCGTTGAGCACGGAGTGACATGGCGTCGTAACCAATCTGGAGCCAAGGGAACCTCGGGTGTTCCGCCCGGCGAGACCTTGCAGTCGCCAGGAAGGAGCTGTCTGTGGCTGACGGACAGTGCCCGCCCCAGGGCCGGGGTGAGTGCGTGCATGGGTCCTGTCCTCCGTGCAGAGGGATCTGGAAGGACAGGCACGCAGCTTCCTCCTGCAGGACGGGCGACAGGCGGGCCGCGAGCTCACTCGGCTCTATGTCGTCCTCCGAGTTTTTTTTCTTTCTTTTTTTGTGTGCAATGAACATATATTACTCGTATCATTAAGATAGAACATTTTTGCCCTAACCGGTTTTTTTTGTTTGCAATGAACATATATTACTCATATCATTAAGATAGAACATTTTTGCCCTAACCGGTTTGGCTCGGTGGATAGAGTGTCGGCCTGTGGACTGAAGGGTCCCAGGTTCGATTCCGGTCAAGGGCATGTACCTTGGTTGCGGGCACATCCCCAGTAGGAGGTGTGCAGGAGGCAGCTGATCGATGTTTCTCTCTCATTGATGTTTCTAGCTCTCTATCCCTCTCCCTTGCTCTCTGTAAAAAATAAATAAAAATTTAAAAAAGATAGAACATTTTTTCTCCGTGAAAAGAAAAAGGTACCAGACAGGTGGCAGTTTCAGTTAACCTTTGAAAAAGGAACCGGGCCCGTGGGGGACAGGGACAGGGACAGATGTCTTTCGAGTCTGAGAATTAGGCTGAGCCGCCACTTCCTCCCTCCCAGCGGTGCGGGTGGCCCGGTCACCAGATGGCTCCCATCCTCCTCGTCCTCCCCCGGGCCCTGCCCCAGGGACAAAGGCAGGGCCTGGCCCCCTGGCGGCCACGACCTCTGCAGCTCTGCACCCTGTGTCCTGCTCCTCTCGGCCTGTGGTCCTTGCCTGAGCAGAGACCAGCAGTGGACGGAGGTGGGGAGTTGGGGACTGCCCAGACCCTACTGGCTTGGAATGCAAATGAAGGGGGACAGAAATAGACCTTTAAAAAAACGTTTGTATTGATTTCAGAGAGGAAGGGAGAGGGAGAGAGAAACATCAATGATGAGAGAGAATCATTGATCACCTGCCTCCTGCACGCCCCCCACTTGGGATTGAGCCCACAACCCGGGCATGTGCCCTGACCGGGAATCGAACCGTGACCTCTGGGTCCCTAAGTTGACACTCAACCACTGAGCCACGCCCAGCTGGGCAGAAATAGACCTTCTTGCCGAACCCCACTCAGCCGGATTCAGTCTCTGCCCTGTGACTTAGTGTCTGGGGTTAGGTTAGAACCAACTTTTGGCAGGTTGTTCTCAGTCCGGGCTGCCCGCCCTGGCACCTGGATCTCCACGTCCTCTCTGGTTCTCTACACACCCGTGTCCCCCTCCCCATCTCCTTTCCAGCCACCCCGCCCGCCTGCCCACCATGGCCTCCGCAGACAAGAATGGCGAGAGCGTCTCCTCTGTGTCCGGCAGCCGCCTGCAGAGCCGGAAGCCGCCCAACCTGTCCATCACCATCCCGCCGCCCGAGACCGCGGCCCCTGATGAGCACGCCAGCATGCTGCCCCAGGTGAGGGCGGCCGGCTCCCGTCCGCCACAGGTGACAGGCGTGCCCAGGGGACACCTCCCGGGCAGTTCCAGTTCCTGGAGGAGGCTCTGTCCCCAGCACGGCTGCCCGAGTGGCCCCAGACTTAGGCCTATGCCCCTCTGTCCGAGCCCCAAACAGCGCAGGGAGTGGGCCCTGCACTCAGGAGCGCCACCTCACGGCGGTAAATGGGAGCTGCTGTCCCAGGGACAGGCTGGGCCGTCCCACCTGGGACTTGGCTGTTTCCATCTCCTCGCCCGGGCCTTCCGGGGGGCGTGGGCTGTCTGGTGGGACTTGGGTGAAGGGGCACGTGTGTCCTCAGCCCCAGCAGCCTGACCTCAGCGCCTGCTCCTCGGAGAGAACAGAAACGAATCAATGTTTCCAACCGGCTGGACCCCGGTCCATAAAGAGCTCATTGAAGACGGCTCGGCGCAGCGTGGGCTCCGCGCAGCCTGGGCATAAAGGGGCTGTGTTGGTGCCGCCCGCTCACCCACGGGTGCTTTCAAACACACAGCGGCAGGCCGGGCGCCGTGGCGTGACGGGGGAGCGCTGAGTGAGGAGGCAGGGAATGCACGCTGGGGTTTTCTGAAAAACATTAGAAAACGGTGATTTTGACCCTCGGGATGAAAGCCGCTCGGGGGTGTAAGTTGGGGCTGAGGTTTGTTCTCAGAGGTTTCATGTTGGGAGCCAGGAGCCGGGCTCTGCGCGTGCGCACGCCCACCCTCTGCGGCCTCCCGCCCCCCACAGAGGCCCAGGAACCCCACCTTCCTGAAGAGCGTCAGCCTGCAGGAGCCCCGGGGACGATGGCACGAGGGCTCCGAGAAGCGCCCCGGCTTCCGCCGCCAGGCCTCCCTGTCTCAGAGCATCCGCAAGTGAGCACGCTACCCGCCCGCCCGGCCTGTCCCCGTGTCCCCGTGTCCCGTTCTAGAAGGCACAGGCTGGCCTTAGTGAGCGGCCTCTCCCTCAGGGTGGACGGGGAGTCTAACCGTGTTGCAGGTGGGAAGCTGGGGTGCAGGGGCATGTGCCTCGCATAGTCACAGGTGGATTCTGAGGGGCTGGGGTGGCCACTGCCGCTCAGAGTGGCTCCCAGGGGCCAGCCCAGCCCCGCTCCTCATGCTCTGGACTCTTCTCCACCTCTGCTCCTCTGGCCACGGGGACCGAACCTGCCCCTGACACTGCATACATGTGCCCTTCACCTTGTCACCCCTGCACACATGCCCGGTCACCTGTCATCCACTCTTTACACACATGCCTTGTCACCTTGTCACTCTCTGCATACACACGTGTGCCATCAACTCTCATCACTTCCCCTGTGCACACATGGTCAGCTCTGGTCACGCCCTGCACATGCACATGACCTGTCCCCTCCCTTCACACATTCGAGGTCACCTCTCGTCAGCCCTTACACACGTGCACGGTCACCTCTTGTCACAGCTGCATGCACACGTGTGCCATCAACTCTCACATCGCTTCCCCTGTGCACACGTGGGCACGGTCAGCTCCCGTTACCCCTCCACACGCGCGTGCCCTGTGCTAGTCCTTGCAGCCTCGCGGCTATGCATGTGCGCGCGCACACCGCCCCCTCTGTCCGCAGGGGCACCGCGCAGTGGTTCGGGGTCAGCGGCGACTGGGA